ATATAAACAGCACCTCAGTCACATTATTATCCCCTACCCCTCAACATCTCTATTCAATGCTGCATAATATTTACAATATTTGTGATCATACCAAAAATTGAATTGGCATGGCATACAAAATATGTGAAGATTATGATTTTCATCCCATAGTTTTTAGGTAAGATTGTGTAGTCAAACTATACAAATTGTGACCTATGATGTCATTGGAAGTACTAAAATGATGGGCAAATTCTATTAAAGCATAACTAAAATTACATGGAATTTTACAGTAGCTTGCATATTGTATATGTATCAACTATCAAATAATATAATATTGCAGAAAAGTTTCCGTGTCTATGCATACTTTTACCGCATGTCCACAACCCTGAAACATTTGCATAATAATTATAATAACAATACAGTCATATAAAGAACAATAAAGTATTTAAATATACATAAGTTTAGCGATTGAAACACTGCACAAACCAATAAGTAAAACATATAAATAAATTAAAACAAACATACTTGCGATCATCGCCAAACCTTTGAAACTCACAGCCAACGCTTTGTGCAGTCAGCAGGATGCATCGACTGCACAAACTTTTCCAGAAGTTCTTTGACATGTACTGCCACTGTTGAAGGGCAAAAGACAATTTTATATACCCATCGCTCGGCCGTGCACAGTGTTTTCACCTCGAACGTCAGAACGCCAATGAGTGAATTTTTTATTTTACTCATGATGCATTGCGGTCGTAGTGCGATCACCGCCTGGCTTGGTGTTATGTTATGCGTTGTTAACACTTCCGCGTCCTGTCAATTATGAAGTAATAAAATAATTGCTTTACGTGCTTTGTGAATGGGACTATAATTTAAAGCTTTCATCCACTTGTACATATATAGCTACTGTATAGGTTTTTTGCTGTAGTCATAAAGCTTATTTATGTCATGATCGTGTTTTTTTTTATTTTATATATATATATATATATATATATATATATATATATATATATACAGCTTGAGTTTTTGGTTTACGAAACACAAACAGTGCTCAATACCATACAGATAGGGCGTAATATATAGATCGCAGTTTATGTATTCAGCACTCTCTTTACTATACGTTATAAAACTTGTAATATGTATTGTATATATATATATATATATATATATATATATATATATATATATATATATATATATATATATATATATATATATATATATATATTAAATATATTAATATATGTAATTGGTTCGCATAGTGTCATTTATCGCAACTGATTCCGGTTACAAGTAGAATTTCGTTTCCAAGTTCTGAAACAAATCCTTCCATTAAACAAAAGCTCGAAATTCATGTTTATATAGGCCTATTATAATGTCAATAGCCTATATATATATATATATATATATATGTAGTTATTCAGAAAATAAACTAGAAATAAAACTTTCTAATAAATACCTAGTAGTTGGTTTGTGTCTTACCTCTTTATTAATCCTTCGTAGTATTTCTTTCAATTTATGTTGTTAACCTTCTCTTCTCCAGGCGACTTTCAATTAACTTCCAAATTCTGCTCAAAATTCTGTTCAAAATTTTCTTTTTAACTTCCAAGTTCCAACTGATTGTTCTCAAAACTGCACCTGCATATGTCGTTTAATGCTCCTACCAGGAACTTATTTGAATATTGCGTGACGAATTAGAGATCATACGTCAACTCGTTAAACTGCATGCAGACGGCTGAAATGTTCAACTTTTAACTAAATCGGGACTGAAACTTCTAGACTGAATAGCAGCTGCATGTGTTGTTTTTATATATAAGGAACTTTGTAGTTGGTTAAAATTAGTTGAGAAGAATAAGTGGTTGGAGAGCATGGAGGGCTGAGGAACTTGTAAACAAAGGGCCGTCCAGATATTATTATGCAAAGTATAGACTAGCTACAAAGGGCCTATAGTGACCGAATTTTTATATCAATAGTCATTTTTTGTTTTAGTTTTTGCACACATCTCCTCTTGTTAAATATTAAAATTAAAGTAAGAGGATGTTTTATGCCACAGGTTTTCAGGATCAGGTCCAAAAGGTGAATTAGCGGAAATTGAAAAGCTATTGGACGTCAGTTCCAATGTTTTTGTCTGTTCGGTTCACGCGAAGCTTGGAAGGAGCTAGTGTACCGAAAATTCGTATTTTGACATTGATTGAAAGAAAAATAATACTATGGTTCTGTATGAAGTTATGAACTAGTAACTTGTTTAGCTACACGGCCCGCTGGAAAAAAATCATTTGAATTAGCTCGGAAAAATGGTATTAAAACTGTTTACGATCTTCGTAGCTATTGGACGTCAATACCCGCCCTTTTTGCTACTCTTTATTTCATGTATAGGAGGGTCTCAATGGGGGTCTATGGGTGTCAGTTGTCAGCAAAAATTTAGGCCAGTTGTCAGTTGTCTGTGCGATATATTGCAAGCTATCAGTAGTCAGTTACTGCAAAAAAGCTGACTCATGGTTTTTTCATTATTTCTCAGTTGTCAGTTAGGACATTTTGTCAGTTATCAGTCAAAAATTCAGGCAAATGTCAGTAGTCAGTTAACCACATTCAGACCCTCATATAGAGCTCAATGGGTTCAAATTACTGCTCATGCAGGAAAACCCATCTAGGAATATTTATATAACTAGAAATAGATGCATGCAGCAACCCCTCGCATTTTTTAACAGATGAAGTATAGAAATTCCATTCAACATGAAGTACTCCATGTTCAAAATAATAATGGTAACATGAAAATAATATGAGAAAATAATAGGAGATAATTTTTTTACCAAAAGAATCGTTGATTTTCATAATTTGTTATTCAAAAGAATGTAGTTTTATGTTATGTGGCTTTCAATCGGCTAAATGTTAATGTAAAATGTAACGGTATTAAATCGTTTCGAAACTTTGCAGGGGAAACTGAAACACTCGTTTACAGTATATAGTCAGTAGTTTGCTCGAAAATACGGTAAAATATATTTGCTTTATATAAACAAAAGCAAGTTTTTGAGTTATACTTTGGTGAAGCCATATTTGCTGTAGGTAAAAGACCATTATAAACACGCATAAAAACACTATACGCTGTATTAATTGCCCCAAATAAACAATATTTATACATTTAAAAATACCAGCTTGCATGAAAATATATTATTTATTGAGTTAAATGGCATAAACATTTCGCCGATATGAATGAAATCGAAAACAAAAAACAAGTACGGTATGAAATTTTAATACTGAAATGTTTATAACACTTACCCAAGATAGCCAAGAGTCAAGACAACGATTAAATTTTATATTAAAAACATCGATCTGGTTCGTCTTCGACAAAATTCGTGTTTATCAGTTTATAACTTTATCCATGCATTTCACACTTTGTTTCACGGTTGACAGCCACTAATTCATGAAACTGCAGGATTTTTTCCAGTTAAATGGCGAAATACATCGCAGAAATATATTTTCCCCGAGCCGACGGCGCAAAGCGCCGTGCGAGGGTACTATTCCCCCCCCCCTCCCTCCGGCTATTTACACCCGGGGAAACGAAAGCATTAGCCAAGTCAAAAGTTCATCAATGAGCGCGGGCGTGGGTTACTGTGAGTGGTTCGGTGGTTCGGTGGGTGATCATCCTCACTGATCTCAAAGATATGGCGCACTGTCATGAATAGCGGACACTGATTGGTCCAATTTAAAATTTGCATTATAACGGCTGTCGACTGTATGACGACAGCGAAATAGCAAACATTTCTTGATTTGATGATTGATAAATTTCTTGACAAAATCGTGATTTAGATTTACTTTTTGGAAGAGAGGTTTTCGGTAGAAGACAAAAATTGTACCACATATATTGAGCAATATTTTAAGTATTAAATTTTTTTATCAAAAATGACGTCATTACCGTTGCTATCGTAACAATTACGTTTCAATATGTCCGATATTTTACCTTTTTACTCCCATTTTTTTATTTCATGAAACATTTTCATGTAGAAAAATAAATGGTATGAACAAGTTTAAAAAACATTCTGTAGATCATAATTTTTAAAAAATTAAAAAACGCGATTTTTTGTGATTAATATTTTTTGGACTTACAGAATTTTTTTAAACTTCTTCACATCATTCATTTTTCTACGTAAAAACGTTTCATGCAATAAAAAATGGGAGTAACCGGCCTTTTCTTTAGTAAAATGTGTCAAAAGGTAAAATGTCGGCCATATTGAAACGTCATTGTCACCATAGCAACGCTAATTACGTCATTTTTGTGAAAATTTTTTAACTCATAGAAGATTGCTGAATATATGTGGTACAATTTTTGTCTTCCTCCCAGGAAACATTCGGATATGCTCCTGCTAAAGACTAGAACTATAATAGTAAAAATTTTAAATCTACTTAATTCATTTGTATTGTATATATTTAACGTATCGCTTCGACCCAAACATTTCTTAGTGTCTTTTAATATTTTTATAATAGTTTATATAATAGTATTTCGAGTTTTAATTTGTATTTAGTAACACGGTCTAATGAAAAACAACCTTTATAATTTTTGTAAATACTGATAGGTAATATGGTTGATTAGTTACCGTGTATAAAGATGTTGTAATAATAATAATAATAATGATAATAATAATAATAATAATAATAATAATAATAATAATAATAATAATAATAATATTAGACACCTTAAGATTGACGTTTACAGCAAACGTCAAACCGCTAGCGAGGTTTTTGATTTTACAACTCTATTATTATTGCTTTTACACCAGTTTTGACATATGTTAAACTTATTAAACTTGTGCTCTTTAGCAATGATTTAAGAAAGCGAATTAACCACTAGTCATGCCATTCACCAAAGCAATAAATTAAGATTTGGCGTTTGAAGTTGACGTTTGGCGTATAAATTTCATGCTTTAACGACTACAAGCCCTCGTAGCAGTTCCAGCATGAAATTTATACGCTTAAACGTCTGTCCTTAGAATGAAGAAGCTTGTCAGCTTGTCCTCAGTGAGAGGAACGCTGTCCTCAGAGTCAGGAACGCTGTATTCAGAGTGAGGAATGCTGTCCTCAGAATGAGGAACCGTGTCCTCAGAGTGAGGAACCGTGTCCTCAGAGTGAGGAACCTTGTCGTCAGAGTGAGGAAACTTGTCTTCAGAGTGAAGAACCTTGTCCTCAGAGTGAAGAACCTTGTCGTCAGAGTGAGGAATCTTGTCCTCAGAGTGAGGAACCTTGTCCTCAGAGTGAGCAACGCTTTCCTCAGAGTGAGGAACGCTGTCCTCAGAGTGAGGAACGCTGTCCTCAGAGTGAGAAACGCCTTCCTCAGACTGAGGAACGCTGTCCTCAGAATGAGGAACGCTCTCCTCAAAGTGAGGAACGCTGTCCTCAGAGTGAAGAACGCTGTCCTCAGAATGAGGAACGCTTTCCTCGATGTGAGGAACGCTGTCCTCAGAGTGAGGAACGATGTCCTCAGAGTGAGGAACGCTTTACTCAGAGTGAGGAACGCTGCCCTCAGAGTGAGGAACACTTTACTCAGGGTGAGGAACGCTGTCCTCAGAATGAGGAACGCTTTCTTCAAAGTGAGGAACGCTGTCCTCAGAGTGAGGAACGCTGTCCTCGGAGTGAGGAACGCTGTCCTCCGAGTGAGGAACGCTGTCCTCAGAGTGAGGAACGCTGTCCTCAGAGTGAGGAACGCTGTTCTCACAGTGAGGAACCCTGTCCTCAGAGTGAGGAACGCTGCCCTCAGAGTGAGTAACGCTGCCCTCAGAGTGAGGAACGCTTTCCTCAGAGTGAGGAACGCTGTCCTCAGAGTGAGGAACGCTGTCCTCAGAGCGAGGAACGCTGTCCTCAGAGTGAGGAACGCTGTCCTCAGAGTGAGAACCGCTGTCCTCAGAGTGAGAAACGCTTTACTCCGTGTGAGAAACGCAGTCCTCAGAGTGAGGAACGCTTTCCTCAGAGTGAGGAACGCTGTCGTCAGAGTGAGGAACGCTGTCCTCAGAGTGAGGAACGCTTTACTAAGAGTGAGAAACGCAGTCCTCAGACTGAATAACGCTTTCCTCAGAGTGAGGAACGCTGTCGTCAGAGTGAGGAACGCTGTCCTCAGAGTGAGGAACGCTGTCCTCAGAGTGAGGAACGCTGTCCTCAGAGTGAGAAACGCTGTCGTCAGAGTGAGAAACGCTGTCGTCAGAGTGAGGAACGCTGTCCTCAGAATGAGAAACGCTGTCGTCCGAGTGAGCAACGCTATCCTCAGATTGAGGAACGCTGTCCTCAGAATGAGGAACGCTGTCCTCAGAGTGAGGAACGCTGTCCTCATAGATTGAGGAACTCTGTCCTCAGCAGTGAGAAACGGTGTGCCTAGAGTGAGGAACGCTTTCCTCAGAGTGAGGAACGCTGTCCTCAGAGTGAGGAACGCTGTCCTCAGAGTGAGGAACGCTGTCCTCAGAGTGAGGAACGCTGTCCTCAGAGTGAGGAACGCTGTCCTCAGAGTGAGGAACGCTGTCCTCAGAGTGAGGAACGCTGTCCTCAGAGTGAGGAACGCTGTCCTCAGAGTGAGGAACGCTTTCCTCAGAGTGAGGAACGCTTTCCTCAGAGTGAGGAACGCTGTCCTCAGAGTGAGGAACGCTGTCCTCAGAGTGAGGAACGCTGTCCTCAGAGTGAGGAACGCTGTCCTCAGAGTGAGGAACGCTGTCCTCAGAGTGAGGAACGCTTTCCTCGGAGTGAGGAACGCTGTCGTCAGAGTGAGGAACGCTGTCCTCAGAGCGAGGAACGCTGTCCTCAGAGTGAGGAACGCTTTCCTCGGAGTGAGGAACGCTGTCGTCAGAGTGAGGAACGCTGTCCTCAGAGCGAGGAACGCTGTCCTCAGTGTGAGAAACGCCGTCCTCAGAGTGAGGAACGCTGTCCTCAGAATGAGGAACGCTTTCCTCAAAGTGAGGATCGCTGTCCTCAGAGTGAGGAACGCTGTGCTCAGTGTGAGGAACGCTGTCCTCAGAGTGAGGAACGCTGTCCTCAGAGTGAGAAACGCTTTCCTCAGAGTGAGGAACGCTGTCCTCAGAATGAGGAACGCTGTCCTCAGAGTGAGGAACGCTGTCCTCATAGATTGAGGAACTCTGTCCTCATACAGTGAGAAACGGTGTGCCTAGAGTGAGGAACGCTTTCCTCAGAGTGAGGAACGCTGTCCTCAGAGTGAGAAACGCCGTCCTCAGAGTGAGGAACGCTGTCCTCAGAGTGAGCAACGCTTTCCTCAGAGTGAGAAACGCTGTGCTCAGATTGAGGAACGCTGTCCTCAGTGTGAGAAACGCCGTCCTCAGAGTGAGGAACGCTGTCCTCAGAATGAGGAACGCTTTCCTCAAAGTGAGGAACGCTGTCCTCAGAGTGAGGAACGCTGTCCTCAGAGTGAGGAACGCTGTCCACAGAGTGAGGAACGCTTTCCTCAGAGTGAGGAACGCTGTCCTCAGAGTGAGGAACGCTGTCCTCAGAGTGAGGAACGCTGTCCTCAGAGTGAGGAACGCTGTCCTCAGAGTGAGGAACGCAGTCCTCAGCGTGAGGAACGCTGGCCTCAGATTGATGAACGCTGTCCTCAGTGTGAGAAACGCAGTCCTCAGAGTGAGGAACGCTGTCCTCAGAATGAGGAACGCTTTCCTCAAAGTGAGGATCGCTGTCCTCAGAGTGAGGAACGCTGTCCTCAGTGTGAGGAACGCTGTCCTCAGAGTGAGGAACGCTGTCCTCAGAGTGAGAAACGCTTTCCTCAGAGTGAGGAACGCTGTCCTCAGAATGAGGAACGCTGTCGTCAGACTGAGGAACGCTGTCCTCAGAGTGAGGAACGCTGTCCTCCGAGTGAGGAACGCTGTCCTCAGAGTGAGGAACGCTGTCCTCAGGGTGAGGAGCGCTTTACTCAGAGTGAGGAACGCTGTCCTCAGAGTGAGGAACGCTGTCCTCAGAGTGAGGAACGCTGTCCTCAGAGTGAGGAACGCTGTCCTCAGAGTGAGGAACGCTGTCCTCAGAGTGAGGAACGCTGTCCTCAGAGTAAGGAACGCTGTCCTCAGAGTGAGGAACGCTGTCCTCAGAGTGAGGAACGCTGTCCTCAGAGTGAGGAACGCTGTCCTCAAGTGAGGAACGTTGTCCTCAGAGTGAGGAACGCTGTCCTCAGTGTGAGGAACGCTGTCCTCAGAGTGAGGAACGCTGTCCTCAGAGTGAGGAACGCTGTTCTCAGAGTGAGGAACGCTGTCCTCAGAGTGAGGAACGCTGTCCTCAGAGTGAGGAACGCTGTCCTCAGAGTGAGGAACGCTGTCCTCAGAGTGAGGAACGCGGTCCTCAGAGTGAGGGACGCTGTCCTCAGAGTGAGGAACGCTGTCCTCAGAGTGAGGAACGCTGTCCTCAGAGTGAGGAACGCTGTTCTCAGAGTGAGGAACGCATTACTCAGAGTGTGGAACGCTTTACTCAGAGTGAGGAACGCTTTACTCAGAGTGGGGAACGCTGTCCTTAGACTGAGGAACGCTGTCCTCAGAGTGAGGAACGCTGTCCTCAGAGTGAGGAACGCTGTCCTCAGAGTGAGGAACGCTGTCCTCAGAGTGAGGAACGCTGTCCTCAGAGTGAGGAACGCTGTCCTCAGAGTGAGGAACGCTGTCCTCAGAGTGAGGAACGCTGTCCTCAGAGTGAGGAACGCTGTCCTAAGATTGAGGAACGCTGTCCTCAGAGTGAGGAACGCTGCCCTCAGAGTGAGGAACGCTGTCCTCAGAGTGAGGAAAGCTTTACTCAGTGTCAGGAACGCTTTACTCAGAGTGAGGAACGCTTGTCCTCAGAGTGAGGAACGCTGTCCTCAGAGTGAGGAACGCTGTCCTCAGAGTGAGGAACGCTGTCCTCAGAGTGAGGAACGCTGTCCTCAGAGTGAGGAACGCCGTCCTCAGAGTGAGGAACGCCGTCCTCAGAGTGAGGAACGCTGTCCTCAGAGTGAGGAACGCTGTCCTCAGAGTGAGGAACGCTGTCCTCAGAGTGAGGAACGCTGTCCTCAGAGTGAGGAACGCTGTCCTCAGAGTGAAGAACGCTGTCCGCAGAGCGAGGAACGCTGTCCTCAGAGTTAGGAACGCTGTCCTCAGAGTGAGGAACGCTGTCCTCAGAGTGAGGAACGCTGTCCTCAGAGTGAGGAACGCTGTCCTCAGAGTGAGGAACGCTGTCCTCAGAGGAGGAACGCTGTCCTCAGAGTGAAGAACGCTGTCCTCAGAGTGAGGAACGCTGTCCTCAGAGTGAGGAACGCTGTCCTCAGAGTGAGGAACGCTGTCTTCAGAATGAGGAACGCTGTCCTCAGAATGAGGAACGCTGTCCTCAGAGTGAGGAACGCTGTCCTCAGAGTGAGGAACGCTGTCCTCAGAGTGAGGAACGCTGTCCTCAGAGTGAGGAACGCTGTCCTCAGAGTGAGGAACGCTGTCCTCAGAGTGAGGAACGCTGTCCTCAGAGTGAGGAACGCGGTCCTCAGAGTGAGGAACGCTGTCCTCAGAGTGAGGAACGCTGTCCTCAGAGTGAGGAACGCTGTCCTCAGAGTGAGGAACGCTGTCCTCAGAGTGAGGAACGCTGTCCTCGGAGTGAGGAACGCTGTCCTCAGAGTGAGGAACGCTTTATTCAGAGTGAGGAACGCTGTCCTCAGAGTGACGAAC